CTAAGTAGCATTAATGGTTCGGTATACCGCTTGATCGAGCACTAGGCTGAATTAATACAAAAAAGGAAGAGAGCTCAGTTAAAATCAACTAGCTAAGCGATTCCCAGTTCTGACTGACTGAAGTTTTACCCTGTTTCCTTGGGTTTATAAGCATCTTATCTTTGTTAGGGGTTTTGTATTTAAAATTTAAATAGGACTACATAGAAGTTAAAATTAGATAAATTTATGCTTTTAATAATTAAAATTTTTACAGAATGCGGCTCTTGTTATCATGGTTATTGCATTTATCTGGAATGTATTTTTTGCCTGCGTATGTATTGTATCTATATTAATTATCAATATACTCGCATAAGTACCGTAGTAGCCCCCCTATTCCTAGTTGAGTCTCAGACTATAAAAAATTAATCTGAGACTCGAATAAAGATGGGGCGGGATACTGAATGTGCCCAAAATTATATATTTTTCACAAAAAGAAAAAAAAGTCGAATAATTAAGATGGAGTGTTAAATTCCTTAAAATTATTCACTTTATCTTAACTTGGAATTAATTTTTTTAAATACTTAATATTATATTTTTAATTAAATTTACATTATATAAATATTTTAAATTTTAGTTCCTAACAACGTATATAAAATGAAATTCATTGCTAATCCTTGTTAAACAAAACATTGAATTGAAGAATGAATAAGGAAAGACTTTCCAAAAAATTTTTTTAATCTCATTTCTATATATTTAATAAAAAAAATTTTTAATCTGTGATTACATTTGATTTTCACTTTGATTTTATTATCAAATATTTTTTAAATATTTTCTTTTCTAATTTTTATTAAAACTAAATGCATAACAGGTGCCACTCTCATTTCCTTCTTGGCAATATTGTGTTGCGTGTACAACAAAAGTGAATTCGCCTGATCCACATACCTAATTGTGCGTGAGTTTAATTGAAAAACTAATAATTTTTTGGTGTACTCCTTTTAAACATTGAATCCATCTCTTATTGGGAATTTTTAAAATAATGAGTTCAGAAATTAATTGAGCTGCTTAAATTTGGTGGTAGATGGTTGGGGTTTTGGGGGAATAGGCTGTCCTTGATCAGAAAATTAAGGAAAAGCTTAAAAGGAGTACTTAGACTTGATATTTTTAATTACCACATTAACACGCGCTTCATCGCCCATAGCGAGCTCTGCGATTGCTTGTATCCTTCGTTTTGACAATTCAAGATCCGTTGAAATATTCTAAAAATTTTTTTAATTTTTAGATTGTTTTTAAAAATAAACAGTAGGATCTCGCTATAAGATACCCTTCATACCTTACTGCGGTGTATCTTAAAAGGGACCCCCCTTAAATAGGGACTCCCCCACTCAAATAGGGACTCCCCCACTCAAATAGGGACTCCCCCTCATCCCCTAACCCATAGGTCAGCCAAATTTTAAAAAACCTTCTCTTAAATAGAGGTGTATCTTATATTGAGCGTGCCTTAAATCAGGGTATGCTTATAGTGTGGTGCTTAGTGTGGAGTATCATAAATAGGGGGTCAGCCACCCAGCCTCTCCCACACAGTAGTCAACCAAATTAAAAAAAACCGTCTCTTAGATAGAGGTGTATCTTATATTGAGGGTACCTTAAATCGGGGTATGCTTATATTGAGGAGTATCATAAATAGGGGGTCAGCCACCCAGTCTCTCCCACCCACTAGTTAACCAAATTGAAAAAACTGTCCCTTAAATAAGGGGTATCTTATATTGAGGGTACCTTAAATTGGGGTATGCTTATAGTGACGAGTATCATAAATAGGGGTCAACTACCCCGTCTCTCCCACACAGTAACCAAATTGAAAAACCGTCTTTTATATAGAGGTGTATCTTATATTTGAGGGCATCTTATAGCGGGGTTCGATTTTACCTCCAAAATAATTTTCCTTAACACTTCACTATTACACTTTGCATTGTCATTATCATTCATAAAGCTTGCTATTGTATCCCCCAAAATATTATCAAATATATTGAAAGGTAAATCGTTGCCTCCAGAATGAGTGCGAGTACCAAATGTTGCAAGGAAATGCCTTAATTTATTTTTATCTTTGGTAAAATTATTTTATCAACCTTTTCTGCATTAGTGTGTTGCTAGGTAAAACTAGACAAGAGCGAATGCCGCAATTACAGCAACAATCATTCTATTTTGTTTATATTTTTTAGTCGAACCTCACTTTCGGGGACGGGGAACAACTCTAGTATATGTACCATTAAATAGGAGGTTATCTTGTATTGTGGTATAAGACCCCCTAAGTTTTTTAAATTTTGATGGTCATTGGGTGGGGCACGCCTGCGGCGCTAGAAAAGGAAGAATTCTGGCTTCTTAGCCTTCCAACATTTTCGAAATTTTCGCCTGCTAATATCCCCCTTGACTAAATAATCCACCCAAATCCTCTTAAATAATATATCTCATTGATATTCCACCCGGATAAATTCACCAAAATTCTTTGAATTTCGGATAAATTCTTTGAATTTCGCATAGATTTCTCGAAATTATAGGTGATTGTGCTGAAGTTGACTGTGATCGTGTCAAAATAACAAAAAATAAACCAAAAATTTGACCTATGGCACCTAAAAATTGTCTCGAGTTTTGTATTATTTTTGGTCTTGAGTCTTGGAGTTTTGGTCTTGGTCTTGAGTCTTGATCTTGGAAAAATTTTTGTCTTGGGTCTTGAGTCTTGAGTCTTGGAAAAATTTCGGTCTCGCACATCTCTAATATACCCCCAATAATAGACGTACAACTATTTAAGATACATTTCTTAAAATATTGGGTTAAGTTGATTGATGAGGGGCACCTCAAGCTATACCCCTTATTTAATATGACCTCATTATTAGATTTTTTACCCCCGAGATATATGGGGGGTGGTTTATCTTATAGTGAGGTTCGACATATTTTTATTTTTTGTCAATTTAACCAACCTGTGCACTTATACTAGTTGCAAAAATATTTCCACGAGGAGGGCAAATAATTTTGGGAGGAATTGGCAAAGGAAAAGGCATAGGAGGAGGTGGAGGAGGTCGTCTTGGAGGTGGTGGTAGTGGACATGGGGCTGGAAATATTCTTAAAAATTTTTAAAAATTAAATTTACCTGGTCTCGGGCACGTAGGAGAAGCTGGGCATGGCTGGGGAGGAGGGCATACAGTTGGAGGAGGGCATGGAATTCTTGGAGGTGGTGGTGGGATAATTGGCCTCTTAACTTTTATTTAAAAATTTTTTTCGTATTTTACTTACCTGGGGCAATGGGCAATTTATTGGAAGTACCAGTGGTTGTGGCTGTTAAAATTTAAAATTTTTTTTGGGAACCTTCGGGGTAAGAATGTATTTTCTTTGCAGTGGGATCCAATATTATACCCTAGGGGATGAAAAATCGTACCTTATAATGAGTAAATACAAGTGGGTCGTCGCTTAACCAGCTCTGTCACCCACCCGACCCGATCCGAAGAAAATTTCGAAACTCGATCCGAAACCCAACCTGACTTCTTTCTCAACCCAGCACATTCCTGCTTTGTAGTAGGGAACAAGCCGACATAAAAATAAAATTCCCGATTTTGGGAAATCAGGATCCGGACCCAAAAAATTGTCGAGAATTCCCGATTTTCGGGAATCGGTCCGGCTCGTTTCCTGCTTTGTAGCCAACCCCTACCTATCCACAAAAATGAGTTTCCTTCCCACTATAGGTCTCATTCTCCTTTCATCTCCTCTAAAACTTCACCTCTACACATTTAAACGTAGGTATGGTGCATGGAGGGCATAATAACGATGTTGGTGACTCTAACAAATCTGCCCCAACATTAGGTGATTGTTGCACTTTGATTACTTGTTGTTGCTCATTTAATAAATTTAAAACCCTTCTTTTCATTTCTTCATTATTTTCTGTATTAATTTGTGCAAGGATCAAATAATTTGAAATTGTTAGTAGAAAAATTAAGGCTGATTTCATTTTTACTAAAATATTTTTTTGAGACCTTCTAGCAATTATTCCTCATATTCCCATTAACTAATCTCAACTACTTTTTACAATTATTGCCAGGAGCTTTGCTAAACACAGTCAGATTTTATGCTTTAGCAGAGCTTCTACTCTTTTATGGATTTTAATCCCTCGCCTAAGCGTTTTTAAATATTGCGAGTCGTTCTGTAGGGTTGTTTGGTTAATAGGAACTAAGGTTGACGTCTCTGTATAGCTTGAACGGAATACACGGAGAACGGTTCGGTTCCGTATAATGGGGGAGGGGGTTCATTTTTAAAAAATCACGATATCCTTAAAGGCGTTGTTGCTGCATTGTAGCGCTAACCTTAAGTGAAACCGATAAACAGACATCCTCATAAAATCCTATCCACCTTTTGGTCGCTAAAAATTTTCGGCAAAATAAATATAAAACTACCACTAAATATTATTTTAGCAGCAACTTCCTTATTTTTAAGCAATTTTATTTGTTTGTTTTTCTTTTCTATGGATGATTTTTTTTCTATTCTTTATAGGTTTTCTATTTAACAAATAAATAATTTTTAAGTACTACTAGTTTCAGAAAATAAATATTTTTAAAGGTTTTTCAAGTAGTATGGCGATCGCCCAAGGCCATCTTTATATCTTAAAATTATAAAATTTGAATTAACCAATTTGGAAAAAAAGTTGCTTGTTAACTTTTTCATGTGGCATTTTGTCGTCTGGCATTTCCGAATTCCGAAAATTTAGGCTGATTTCCGACTTACGAGTTCCAACTTTTGAGCCATTTCCGATTTCCGACAGGTCCGATTTCCTGCACCTTCGTCATTTCCAATTCACCCGGCCTCTCACCCAAAGACCATCCAACTCTGCCATAACTCCCATACTTCGATTCGATCCATCACTATGACATTCGAAAGAGCTCTAGGAGCTGAGTTGAATGACACCAAAATTAAGCTTCGCACGCGATCGCAAGCGGATTATGGCCTCATAATAGTATTTAAAAATTTTCCTTTTAAAATTATAGTTATCAACACAACAATAAAAAATATTTAAACGACAAAATGTCTATTCAACCATACAACACCAATAAAAAACGGCGGCGTAATCATCCAAATCAAAATAATTTTCAATCTACGAGTAGCAATCATCAAGGAACATCCTCAGGGTAGAGAAAAATATTTTATGTCGAAATTTTCGAAATACTTGAAAGTAAAGATTCAGAGGAGGGGAGTTAAATAACCCAGATCTCGTCTCTATTCCGTTATTGCTTAAAAGTCGTTTAAACTAGGGTAGGACACGACCGGTTATTACGGTACCCCCGGGTCTTCGGTATCGCCGGTTTCGAGCCCGGTTCTTGGTTCCTGTTAAATTGCCAAAAACAAGTTTTCTTTTCTGGTTTTTTAGGTTTTTAAAGTGGGGTCCTAAAATAGGTCCAAAATAGGTCCATATAGGTTTTAGGTCCAAAAAAGCCGAAATAGGTTTTTTAGGCTCAAATAGGTCCAATGTAGGAGCATGGTACCATGCCAAATAAGTGTTTTTTGAGCTTTACTCAACATTACAAGATTGCAAAAAAAATAGGTCGGAACCTAAAATGTCGGACTCTATGATGAGTTGGGTCAAAGTTCGAACCTTCTCGGCTCCTTTATTTTTTACAATATTTTTTAATATTAAATGATTACCGAATATTATTTCAAATTCCTTTTTGAACAGCAAAAAAATTTTTTTTAAACTATAGAACGCTCTTTTCAAATTCTAAAATTTAAGAACACAACCTCAACTCTACAACTTCCCTATTGTTTTCACATCACCCGGAAGGGCAATATTTCCTGTCAAATTTTGTCCAGTACTCCCAACATTTTGTTCAAATATTGCAAATGTTTGGCACAGTATAAAATTCAGTAGTGGAGTTATGACTAGTTTGGTTATTGACAAGCGTTATAGGACCGGGAAAGATTTTATTGCTTATTCTTTGGTTCTTTTGGCAAAATGGTTGATGTTTGGACAGGTAGATCATACAGATGCTCCTCATTATAAGTTACACCCTGAGGGTTGAAAAAATAATATCCCGTCCGAGACCGAAAATTTTCAAGACCAAGACAAAAAAAACCCCAACAAGACTTCGAATCTAGACTCACGACCAAGTGTCTTGGACGTCTTTAATGAGATGTTAGATACTTAGAAGGCAGGGCTGTGCGTCATGGCGTTTTGGCGTGGCGTTTTGGCGTGATTTTTGGCCGATTTTGGCGTCCTGGCGTTTGGCGTGATTTTTTCTTTTGGCGCGCCAAAACGCCAAAATTATACACCCCTAATGATGGGAATTTTCCAAATAAATGGGGGAAGTGTTTTCAAAAAATGAAATATTTTTGCATGCAGCCTTCCAAAATTTTCAAAATTTTCGCCTGCGGCGCACAAAAGGAAAGAAATCTACTTATTATCCTTGGCCGGACTAGGTCTCCCTCCCCTGTTCTCTCCGATAGATTCGATATACTACAATTCTGGGGTTGTGATTTTTCCATTTTTTTTTGCAATTTTTAACAAATTTACATAATTTTGGGTGTAGGCGCTAAAAAAAGGATGAATTTTGGCTTCAAGAAGTCGTGAAAATTCAAAAATTTTCGCCTGCGGCGCTAAAAAAAGATAAACACTGGTTTTTCGGGCCTTAGTAGAATAAAATTTTTGGCGTTTGGCGTTTTGGCGTCGTTTTTGGCCGATTTTGGCGTTCTGGCGTTTGGCGTGATTTGAAAATTTGAAAAATTGGCGTTTGGCTTTTGGCGCGCCACACGAAAATTCTGGCGCACAGCCCTGTTAGAAGGGATAGGATAGGTTGTAATAATACGTCAGATTTCGTATAGAGTTTTTGAAAAAAGTTTTCGTTTGTTTCGAATTGTGGGTCGAAAAAAGAGTGTTTAAGGGACAGGTACCCCACGCCCTATTCTACTTAAGCTTAGGATCTAGGCCCATCCTAAAGGCAAAACTATTATTCTGGGGTCGCTTGTATGAATTCCGACAGTATTATCGTATTTAAGATAATGTTTTGCCTCCGGGTACTTATTTTCAACCTTTCGCTGGTGAGAAGGGTTGGGGATTATTCAGCTAAAATACAGTGGATACGATATGTACAATTGAAGCTCTTTATATCACGTCCCTCCCACTTTATTTCCTTTGTTAGGCAAAAATTGGCCTGAAAAATGACGTTTTGGGTTGGCTTGTGGCCAGGTTTGGCATTGTGACATTTGGAGTTTTTAAGGGGTTGATAACTTGGGTTTGACGTCTGGGCGTCACACGAAAATTGACTCAAGACCAAGAGTCTCGGACGTCTCTAATGAGATGTTAGATAGGAGGGTTGGGATATCGGTTATACGCCCACAAGCGTACAGCCTTGATTACAATTTATTTTTATTTCAGAAAATTCACATTTCTGGGCTTCGTCACTACTCGACAAATCACTTAACTTCAGTTATAGCAATAATAAAGCAATATGGCCCTTTTAGAATTGACAATATAGGCTTTAACTTTCAATTAGTCGATGCTCATTCAATAATCCATTCAATAGTCAGAATCGCCTTTTATTTAAATTCAACAGCCAAAAAACCTCAAAAATCTGTGGAAATTTTTAACGAACCGGATATACACCCAGAGGACTTGTATCATATTAATTTGTGGTGGCTACCGACAAAAAACAACTGCCCTCTTTTCAAGTTCTGGTTGACACTTCGTTTATCTGATGCTTATGGGAAATTGTGTCCGGGTAGGGAAAATAAATAAAATTGAAAATTTTGACTTAAAATTTTTCTCTGGCAAACTTACAAATTTTCTGGGGGGGGGGGCAGAAGACTGTCCGACAGGAATGTCACGGGTTGAGAAAAATGTCGGGTCGGGTTTCGGATTGGGGTTTGAAAAAGAAAATTTCTCGCGTCGTAAAAAACACTGGGTTTCGAGTAACCCCCTACAGTTAACCGAACCGAATTTTTCGGTTCGCGTTCTGTTCGGGTTGAATCAACAATCCTAATTATCACAAAAAGTACATTAATAAAAAATGGCCTTTAGGAGGATTTTTATCCATTTCATTTTCATTATTAGGGTTGGTTCCCGTCGCCGAAAGTCGTTGAATTTGAAGGATTTTTCGCTGCCTCCCTGAAAAGCTTTCCCCGTGCCCTCCCCCCGTCGGGGACCAACTCTATTCATTACTACTAATTTTCGAGCTAACAACTCGTTCCCTTGCCATACCTTCAAAATAATTAAAAAATCTCTCCCTTTAAGGTATTAGCTTATCAATTGAATCGGTCTCTTCAAGTCTTTTCCCTATTCCAAAAACTAACGATTTTATGGATGATACAGAAGATGAACAAAATTTAAATGTTGAAAATACAGAATGCCAAAAATTTCCAATTTGGTTTTCCCATTTTATTTCGCTTTTGCCCGGAGAAGAAAAAACTGATTGGGATTGGATTTTTAAACCTTTCCCTTCTCAAGAAGATTTTATCGCTTTATTTAGTGGATTGGAAGGGGAACGAAGACAGGCAAGAATTGATATACCTGTTGAACAGCGTTGGAAAAAGCCTAAAGTTGCTGATCTTGGATGGGAACTTAATTTGATGGGTGATTTTTTAAAAAATTTATTTATTGATTTTAAAATATGGGAAAACTCGGGGGAGCCCTAAGGTACCGTTGGCCAATTTTCCGCGCTCCAAAGGTACCATTACTAGGGTGTTTCAAAATATGCACGAAAAATTTAAAAATATGCGCATGTATATGCACCGAAAAATCCCTAAATATGCACTAAAATATGCAAAATTTCCCAAAATATGCATCGATATGCAAATATGCTCGAAAGTACCGAAATATGCAAAAATATGCTATAGGAACCCGGTCCCTAATGTTTGTACCGATGTAAAAACACCATTTTTGAGCGTTTCAGCTCATGGCATATCCGCATACAAAATATGCATTTGCATGTTTTGAAACACCCTAGCCATTACTTATATCTAACAGCCTTTTGATCAACCATATGGGTTGGAAAGATATATATCACCCAGTATTCGATCATGTCCGATTTCCTTTACCAATAGCTCTCAGCATCTCTAGGAAACGCACATGATATTCCCCACTCTTAACTAGGGAACTCCTACTATCGCTTCCCTATTTAACTGTCAGCAATGGTAGGTATATGTAGTTCAGCAAGTTGCTGAACTCATGACTATCCATCCCCTAGGCCCTGGGTATAAGAAGAAAAGAAATTTTATTAGGGGTGCTTAAGTTACTTCGCATAATTAGAAAGGCAAAGGCTTTAGTGCTATATGAGGCAGATTAGGGACGTAGGAGAAAAGAAGGCATTAATCGTCGCCCTAGTACCTGCATGTGTGCATTTGTGTAGCAACTGCACAAGTTTAAGCCAGGTCGCCCGATCCCTGCAGCATTGCTGCCGTTTCGAATCCTGTTCTGTGGCTAAACTTTTACTTTACTCTTCCTAAGTCCTCATAAAATTTAACTATTTCCAGACGTATTTAACGAAGTTTCCAATATTTGGTTGCCTTTCTCTTTAAATCTTTCTCGTTTTATGAATATGGAATCAATTGAAAACGAAGTTGAAGAAGCTTTTGGATCATTAACCCAAATTTCTCTTCTCTCCAACGAACACGGCATTACCTCTCTTCGAACGTTGCACAAAGTCTCATTAGAAAAGGCTTCTCTTGCCGCAGCATTTCACCCAGAAGCTATTTGGGATCATTTGTCGCATAATCCTCGTGTCCTTTATATAACTTCAAACCCTCCAAAGGTTGAGGGAACCAGATGGGTGCAAAAAAGAGACATTAAAAATTATAATTGACTTCTTTAAGAAGCTATTGTTGAGGTATACAATCTGATCTCACTGGGTGAAAAAATTATATCTTATAACGGGGTATACCTCACAGTGCTTCAAAAGCGCGCATAGCAAAATTTGTGTAGTCTCTCGTTTTTCCTCTCTTTCATTTTCTTACTCTCTCGTTTTTAACATTACTCTCGTTTCTATTTTAGGTTGCCGATTTTGAAATCCAATATCTCGAAAACTTTTGCAATTTTTAAAAAATCTGTTGCAACCATTTCATAAATAATTGTTCTGAGATTTTATAAAAAAAATTTCATGAATTTTTATATTTTCTAAAAAAAGTTAATATGGGCGAAGTTTTTCAAAATTTTCAATCTAAGGGTTGAGTCCTTATAACCTGTGAAAAATCTATTTAGTTTTGTTTGTTTTTCATCACTGAATAATATAAAACAAAAATTAGGAAAAAAGGACAACTTTGGAGAAAGTTATGGCCTAAAATAGGACGAAATTTACCGATTTTTAAAAATTCATAACCTTGCCAAAAATACATATTGGCTTCTCAAAATTTGCAGGATTGTTTAAGTATTTTTTAACTACAAAAATACAATATTTGAAAAAAATCGGGTGAGAGGGCTGAAAGATATAAGGATGAGAGAGAGAGTTCCCCTCATTGACACTCAAACTCTGCGATGAATTGGCACTCAAACGGTATTAATTATTGGCACTGAAACGGCCTTTTTCTCTGTTTGCTATGCGCTCTCTTTCAACGGGTTTGAACCACTGTGTACCTAGCTTAAATAGGGGGTATCGCATAGGTTTAAAAATAGAAGACTTATCTGGGGCCTATGCAAATTAGATCATTTTTCAGATATGACGTGTCATATTTGTGACTAGAGTCCGACATTAGGTCAATGATGGTCAGTTAGTGGGTTAGATGTCGGATTCTAGTCACAAATACGACACGTCATAACTGAGATATGATCTAATTTGCAGAGGCCCCTGGTCGCAGCAATAACCGTGCTTCGGCTCTTTCCAATGACCAGGGGCACGCCAACACCCAAAAGCCGTCGGACACCCAAAAGCCATCGGTCTGATGGCTTTTGGCATTACAGCGTTTGCTGTACCATACCCAATAATCAACCTTTAAAAAACCGTTCATTAAATAGAGGTATTTTTGTAGGGGCTCTTTTAGTGAGATCAGATTATCCTTTGTTTTGCTATTATTTTTTAATTTATTAAAATTTATTTTATCAACTGGAATATCTTTTCTTTCATATTACGTTTGAATCTCGTTAATACGACACTGGGACCGTATTAGAAGTTACTTAAATTGAGAAAATACGATTCGACTCCCTCTCTGGGGAAAAGAATTCTACGGGGAACGATGGAGGCCTTCCCTCAGGTCTGGAGGCCTTCCCCCGCTATGCTATACTTCACTTTCCTTCCGGGGGAAGGAAAGCCCAAGGAAAAATTCTTGCGGACACAGCGCCACGGAGAACGGCAATGGGAACGAGGAAATTTTTTTAGTCTTCCCCACAGCCCGAATTTTGGTTCCCACAAAAGCGTTCCCCGCCCCATAAGATAGTACCCTAGCTAAAAAGCACATTTCTGCTGCCGCATTCAGCCGACGTGTAAAGAGAGTGAAGTGTGATGAGATGTCGTATTAGCGAGATTTTGACAGTAGTTTAAATGGTTTATTCAATAATACCTATTTATTTTGCCTAGAAATTTTTTAAATTTTTTAAAAATTTTTTCTAAAAATTTTTTTCAGCGTTAAAAAATTTTTTAAAAATAAAAAAAAATCCTCCCAAAAATTTCAAAAATGTCTAACAACAATAACAACAATTTTAAAATTAATATTGCCAATTTTTTGGATTGGTGTGGTAATAGACCTCGTATGCTTGCCCTTGTTGGGTTGCTGTTAATGTGAATTAAATTGAATTTCTTTAAAAAAAATTTTTAGTTGTTCTCTATTTATTCTATTTTTTGGAGAATATGTTGAAGAGAATTTGGGAACAAATAAATTTTTTAGAAGGCAAATACAGAGTGTGAGGAATTTGTTAAATTTTTAGGGGAATGGGTTCGGGTGCTGGTCTAGTTTATGAGTCCAATGAAGGTCGAAGACAGAGCTGCACGAAAATGAAAAATCTCAACGAAACGAAATTCATGAAAAAAATCACGAAAATCATGAAAAACGAAACGAAAATTTTCGTGCAACTCTGGTCGGGGAAGGAGGGCCAAGGGAAAATAATTTTTGCGGAGACAGCGCCACGGAGAACGGGAATAAGGAAAAAAATTTTTTTTCATCAGGTAGTAAGAAAAAAAGATAAAAAGGTGAAGTATAGCATAGCGTAGGAGCATAAGCACTGCAACATAGCTCAGTCGGTAGAGCACTTGCACATGATGTGCGGACATATCGGGATTGGAGTGGCAAAATAATTTCTTGCATGTTTACACTTGTTCTAAAACATAAAAACTTTATTTCTCAATGGGACAATATACTATCCAAGACCCAGTGGCCGTAGGTCCCGAAATCAGTAGTGTAACTGTTCGTACATTGAAATATCCCGATATGTCCGCATGCACTTGCATATTGTGGGCGATAACTCCTAGCAATAACCGCCTGAAGCTTTACCCTCCCTTATAATTTTAAATTTTTAAAGGACCCTACAATAGAAACTGATTTAAACAATCAAAAATCTTCTGATTTAGAACAACAAAATATTTGTTCTTCCATCCCAACAAATAATTCAACATCTAATTTTACAGTATCTATTTTTCAAAATTGCCAAAAATGTTCAGATTTTGAAAGAAATGCTCTTCAAATAGGTCTAAAAATTATTGTTGATTAACTCAATATTTATTTCAGAACACTGCAATCCTACTGGCTATTACAATGCCTACATTTGCACTGATAATTTCAAAAATAATTCGACTGTTTATGTGTGAGTTTAGGAGA